ATACTAACTTAGACAATGCGACTCATTTTACTGCAATTATCATTAAAGGGCTTACTCAAGCTTTAGGAATCAAATGTGAATGTCATAACCCCTGGCATCCATCCTTATCAGGAAGAATAGAAAGGATGAATCAGACTTTGAAGAATCCTCTAACTAAGTTAATTTTAGAAACTCTACTACCCTGGACTAAGTGTCTCTCCATTGCTCTACTCAGGATCGGAACTGCCCCGCAAAAAGACGTTGGCCTATCCCCTTATGAAATGCTCTATGGGTTACCATACTTAAGCTCCACTAGTGATATTCCCACTTTTGAGACCAAAGATCAATTCCTTAGGAACTACATACTTGGTCTGTCTTCCACCTTATCTTCCCTTAGGACTAAAGGTCTCAGCACAAACCCCATTTCTTGAGTTTCCAGTTCATCAGCACTGGCCCAGAGACTACGTCCTCATTAAGAGCTGGAAAGAAGAGAAACTTGAACTGTCCTGGGAGGGACCATATCTAGTGCTCCTAACAACTGAAACTGCAGTCTGAACCACCGAGAAAGGATGGACCCATCACACCTGAGTCAAGAAAGTGCCGCCCCCTCCAGGGTCATGGGCTATAGTCCCAGGGGAAAATCCTACCAAATTAAAGCTAAGGAAAGTTTAGCTCTCTTTCATTTATTCTATTACTCCTTCTTCTTTCCTTGTTCTGTTGCTAGCCACCTCATTATTAATGCAACTAGATCAGACTCACCCCAAACCATGACCTTTGATGCTTGTTTAGTTATGTCTTGTGGGGATCTCCAAAGCCAGAGACAGCTTGCAGCAGCAGGGAAATATCTCTGCCCTATCCACAGCAGGTGCTTCTCCCATTTTGTCATACTTGGGAATGTGTCATTTGGACTACTCAATGTCAAGAATGGGTCCCCTCAGAGGATTTCCCGCTAGCAGTTCTAAAGCCCTATAATCATTTTACTAAAGGAAGTGCCCCTCCCAATTGTCAACATAACCAATGTAACCCTGTGCAAATTTCCATCACCATCCCAACTCTCCAAGATTCCTCCCCTACCCTGAACTGTTTTTATGGTATGGGAAGAGATGTAACAGGAAAAGACCCTATAGGATTCTTCGAGTTGCACCTCATTACATCCTCATCCCTCACATTTCCACCTCTATCCTCTTCTAAGGATCTTCTCCACCTAATGACAAAACCAACGTAGCTATTGTAGAAGTTAAAAATTTAAAACAAACACTGGCAATTGAAACAGGATACCATGATGCAAATGCCTGGATGGAATGGATTCAATATTCTGTTCGCACTCTAAATAAAAGCGACTATTACGCTTGTGTGCAAGGTAGGCCAGAGGACCAAGTTATCCCCTTTCCACTTGGATGGTTTTCTGACCAGCCAGGCATGAGCTCTATGGTGGCTCTTTTCTAAGACCCCACAGCCAGGGGTAATGAATTCTGTCAAATTCTCTCTCTGCTATTCCCTGAAGTTCAACATCCTGCAGGTCAGCCCCTGAGAGCCATCCAGCCTCCATCTCCAGATGCCAATTTTACCTCACATCTCTCATGACAGGGACAACATTTGGCGTTTCTTGGATACCTGAAGGGATGCAGTGAGTTTAAATATTTCCAATAGTTTACCAATCAGTCTGCCCTTGTTCATCCCCGTGCTGATGTATGGTGATATTTTGGTGGACCTCTTCTGGACACTGCCAAGTAACTGGAGCAGCACTTGCACTCTAACTCAACTGGCCATCCCTTTCACTCTGGCATTTCATCAACCAGAGAAAGGGAAACCACAACACCGTAAAATGAGAGAGGCCCCTTATGGATCCTTCATCTCTCATGTTTATGTAGCTGCAGTTGGAGTCCCACAGGGGGTACCTGATAGATTCTAAGCCCAAGACTAAATAGCGGCAGGATTTGAATCATTATTTCCATGGCTAACTATTAATAAAAATGTAGATTGGATAAATTACATCTATTATAACCAGCAGCGATTACTTAATTACACTAGGGATGCTGTCAAAGAATTAGCCAAACAATTAGGGCCTACTAGCCAGATGGCTTGGGAAAACAGAATGGCCCTGGATATGGTATTAGCAGAAAAAGGTGGAGTTTGTGTTATGATAGGAACCCAATGCTGCAACAATACAGTCCCTGATGGAACAATTACAAAAGCTTTACAAGGTCTTACCTCCTTATCAAATGAATTGGCCACAAAATCTGGGATAAACGACCCTTTCACAGGATGGTTAGGGAAATGGTTTGGTAATTGGAAAGGACTCATGGCCTCTACTATTACTTCTTTTGCAGTCGCAATAGCTGTGTTTATTCCTGTTGGATGCTGCATCATATCCTGCATTCGTACACTAGTCCAAAGACTTATAGAAACAGCTGTTACCAGAACCTTCCCTAGTTCTTCCTAATCCTATACTAATAGATTGTTTCTCCTGGAAGAACAACAAAGCCGAGTCATATTAGGTAAGTTTGAATAACAAAACGTATAAATTCAAGAGTGGGAAATTGTTGTTAAGAACAAATAGTTCCTCTTCAACGGGTTTCAGTTCCTGATTCTTTGTTCTATTCTAAAAGGTAATCTTACCCATTCATCTATCAGCCCTCCCTATCTCTGCTATGCCCGAACACCTCAAGAGGTACCATACCTGTCCTTCTGGTCAAACGCCCCTTGCCTCCTTTGATGATGTCAACAGCAGTCAATCGGAATTAGCCTAGATTGTGTGGTCTGACCCCAGTCCACAGTGGGAGGACACAGGAACAGGGTTTGCATTAGGAATAAAAAAACTTCTGCTCTCCTTTGTTTTGTGTGCTCTCCCTTGCCTCTGCCTTGCATGCAAGAGGTGCCCTTCTATAGAAGTACATTTCCTTGCTGAGAGAACTTTTGCCTGAGTGCTAGTTTCACTCTGTGGCATTGAATATTTGTTTCTAACAATAAGAACACTGAGATCCACACATGCCACACGTGCCTGAAGCTATCATAGGCTTATCCAAACAAACTAGTGAATATTTTCCTTGGGCTAACTTGAGTTAGGTTTCTGTCATTTCACTGAAATGAGTCCTAACTAACACACTTCTGGATGGAATGGATTGAGCAGTGCCTTAGGCGCTGTTGTCTTAAAGATCGTCATTAATACTAACAACAACAGCTGATATTTATTGAGTGCTTACGATATACCAGGTATCATTTTAAGCACTTTGCTTGGATAAAATCGTTAAAACCTCACAATAACTCTATGATGTTACTATTATTATCTCCTGTTTACAGGTGAAAAAACAGAGGAACAGAGATTAAGAAACTTGTCCTCAGGTTATACACTTGTAACTGGAAGATTTGAGACTCAAGCCAGGGAAGAGTTCCACACCTGTGCTATTCTACACTGCCTCAAGAGTCAGCAAATCCAGTTGCCTTTTCTCATTCTCTTTAGCCTCTTTGCCCAGTTCGACTATCCATTTGCTCTTCAAACTTGCATAGAAAGCTTTAGCTTTCCAGTCCTTCTATTAGGAACTTCATTAGGTTTTCTTTTGCCCTGCCTCCTAAATCTAAGGTTTTCCTAATAATTCTCTACTCTTTTCTTGGTAATCTCACATACCTCTGTGCATTAACTCAAGCCTCTAATTTTGAACTTCCTGCTGTCTCCAAATAACCCAAATGTCCTGCTAGGGCCTCAAATGGCATGAATTGCATCACACAATGTTGAGTTTGTAGGAAGAAATTAAAATTTTTTTATTATTTCAGCCTTGGCTGGACATTATAATTTATGCCAGAGGTTATAAAATCCAACCGTTAGGTAATAAGATTATTGACACAGGTGCTTTGGGAGGACTAAGGATTCAGCTAGCCATTATATCTGGTGTGATGAGAGATGTTAGTTAATATTTACATACTAATTACCTAGCAGTTAAAATAAATCTGTACTTATGTTGTATCTTATAATCATAAAGCTGAGTTTTTGTCTGTCTTTTTACTAAAATGTAAATGATCTTCCCTGAAATATTGAAAATAATACTCTTCATTTGTACCTTGGAGATGATGAATATTTGTTAAGATGTTTATTAAAGCAAAAAGTGTTTCTTCTCTTCTGGTTGTAAAATGACTGGAGAGGTTGTTTTTAGTTTATCACACCTGTGCAAATTAATTCCTCTCTAGGGTCATGGCTTCTCATATTTGGCCTTTCTTTAGAATCGTCTGATATCCCACACCAAGAAATTCTGATTCAATTGTACCAGAGTAAGAATAGGGCATTGGTATTTTCACAAGCACTCCAGGTTATTCCAATGTGCTTCCAAGCTTGAGAATCATTGCTCAGAAGGTACACTTTTTAGGGTTGCTCAATAAATATGGAACACCCAGTTAAATTTTACTTTTTAGTAACCAAACATTTTTAGCATGTTTTATACTAAGAATTAATTCACTGTTTATCCAAAATTCAATTTTAACTGGGCATCCTGTGTTTTTATTTGCCAAACTTGTTAACTTTATCATTTATCCGAGTTCATCCCTGTGATTTCATCAGAAATAAGAGATTATATTACATTACTGAATCAGAAGCATCAAGACTTTCATCTTGTCTTTCTTCTTTCAGGCCTGTTTGTAATAAATCTTGTACCTCCAAAAGTTTATTTCTTTAAAAAGGAAGCACTGCAAATTCAGCCAGGAGGCCAACATTCTCCTCTAGAAGTTGCCCACATTCTCCCTGTTGTGTGTTTCCCAGGTGGTTCCCTCAAAGGAAGGTCAAGTCTCTCTCAGGCTTCAAAGCTCTCTGACATTTCTTGCCGTCTCATCTTTCTGATTCTAGTTAGAGAATGTTTTCTGCTTTTAAAGGTTCATGTGATTAGGCTGGGCCTGCCTAGGTGATCTGAAATAGTTTCCCTATTTGGGTCAGTAACTTTTATTACATCAGTAAAGTCCCTTTTCTATATACTGTAACATCTTTACAGGATCCAGAGATTAGAATGTGGACATTTTGGGGGATACATTCTGCTTACCACAGTTGTTACGGATGGCACTTTCACTTCTCTCTTCAACAGATTCTCTGCCTATCCACTTTGTCATAGAATACATCCTCCAATTGCTTCCTGAGAAAGAATGCATGAAAATACTATTTAAACATTTGTATATTTGAAAATGTCTTTTTAGACCTCATACTTCATCAATTTCAAAATTGGAAATCATTTTTTCTCAGAATTTATCTTTTATGCTTCTGTCGAGAATCCAATGCCATTCTGATTTCCAAATCTTCATAAATCATCTCCTATTTTTTCCTCCATGAAAGCTATTAAGATCTCTCTGACTCATGTGGTTTGAAATTTCACAACTTTGTTATAGATAATTTTTATTTATTAAACTGAGAGCTCATGTGCTTCTATCCTTTAGTTCTGAGAACTGTTGTCCTGGTTTTCTGGTAATTATCTTTCTTCTCTTTTCTCTACTAGCTGTTAGATATTCCACCTTTCCTTGCCTAACTGCCCTGGCTACTGCCTCCACTATAATGTTGAATAGAAGTAGCGACAATTGACATCCTTGTCTTATTCCTGATCTTAGGTGAAGATGTTCATTCTTTCAAGATTAAGTATGATGTTAATTATGGATTTTTCATAGAGGCTCTTTATTAGGTTGAGGAAGTTTCCTTTTATTCCTAGTTGAAGTGTTTACATCAAGAAAGGGTGTTAGATTTTGTCAATTGCTTTTCCTTCATCTTTTGAGATGATCATGTGGTTTTTGTCATTTAGTCTACTAAAGTAGTGCTTACATTAATTTTGTATGTTACACTAAACTTCCATTCCTGAGATAAATCCTACTTGATCATGTTGTATAATTTTTTTTAAATGTTGCTGGGTTTGGCTTGCTAGTATTTTGTTGAGGATTTTTATGTTACTATGCATAAGGTATATTGGTCTGTCGTTTTCTTGTGATGTCTTTCATTTTGTTATTTCCTTGTATTTCCAGATGGGAAGTCACTGTATACAGCCCTAATCTTAGGACAAGTTTCCAAATAAGCCACTTTAGGCAAATAAAAATTTCTGTATCTAGCAGAGAAACAAAGCTATATATTATTTTGAGGTTCCCTCCTAGCTTCCTTCCCTCTCCTCAAGCCAACTAATAAAACTTGTTTTTTATATTCCAAATATTATTTATAGTCGTTTGATCATCTATGAGGCACCTGCAAGTCAACATTTACTGCAAGCGGCCCCCTCACTCCCTAAATAAGCAGTTTTGATTTAGCTCCGGTCATCAACTCACCTCCCAACTGTAATTTGTCAAGCGTAGTGTCAGTCAGGTGCACTTCAGTGGTTAATCTCCTTGTACACCGGTGGAACTTTAGGCACAAGAAGGTAAGCAACGAAGATAGTGATACACAAAGGGAAAATTAAATCCAGGTAGTGATATACAAAGGGAAAGATAATAATATACAAAGGGAAAACTAAACCCAGCTTAGAAAGTCCTAGGAATGGGGATGGGTGGCTGGGACGCCGGCCTAAGATTTTAGCAGGGAACAGACCCAGCAGTTGGATGGGATCTCTGAACTCCAGAAAAGGCCGAGTGAGGACAAGGAAGACCACACTGATAATTTCTATGGCTCTGGTAAGGGGATGACAAGGGAGAAAAACCTTCCCACGGTTCCGTCTGGCCCGCGGCGCTTGTCTGCCTGCGCGAGGTCAAAGCCCAGCGCCGCCCACGCGCGGCTCGGGTGGGAACCCGCAGAGGTGGGGTGAGCAGGGCAGCTGGCGGCGGCGGGCGAGCGCCGGGGCGCCACGTCCGAGGCCGCGGGGTCGGGGCTGCCGGCACAGCTAGAGCGCTTTCCGCGGGGTTTGGCTCCTGTCGCTTCCCGTCTCGCCGAACCGGCATCGCCGCTGCTGCCGGAGTCGCAGCAACTCCTCAGAGCCTGGCTGCTGGCGGCCGGGAGCGCCGGGAGGGGGCGCGAAGCCGGAGGCTCCGGGACGTGGACACAGGTAAAGGCCGGCGGGTCGGAGTCGGGCGAAGCGCGGCGGCGGCGCCTCTCGGAGGGGCCTGGCCTCGGCCGGGCCCTGCCCAGCCGCGGTGGCCCGGGTCTCCACGTTGGCCCAAGCGGGGACGTGCCAAGGGGCTGGGCTAGGGCTGCCGCTGGCCTGGCCGCCTCTCGCCCGGGCCTCCGGTGACGCGGCGGCGGCTTAACTTTCGCACCTGAGACTCTCCGAGCGGCCTCGGGGCGCGCCCGCCTTGAGGTTGGAATCACATGGGGTGGAAAAAGCTGAGCCCTAGACGCGAGGCGCCGGAGGCGTGGCGGAGGAGGCCGGGGACGGTAGGGTGGGTGCCAGAGGTCCAGTACTGAACACTCTCCAGGTCTGAGGTGGGGAATTGCGTCCTGTTTAATTTCGGAGCTTGTGGGGACCACACACGCCCTTCCACGGCCAGTGCCTTCCGCACGGATCCACTTTCCTTTGTCTGGTCCATTTCAGTATTGGCGTCGCAGTTGCTTTTGTTGCAGCCTTGGGTCCGGAGTGTACGACTTTCTACTAGGCAGAGGTCATAAGCTCTGAAATGCATCCGGGCGGAGGTGGGGAGATTGTCCTTTGGTGGGAAATTACTAGTGCTGCTGTGAGCACTAACACGTATATACTACCTTGTTTTTTTTTCGAGATAGTGCTCATTATTTTCGTAGCATCTAAGTGCTTTCGTAAGTGCACCTGTGAGAGCTTTCATTAGTTAACTTCAAAGGTGCATTATGCGGACAGGTTACTATTATCCCATTTTATAGACCAGACAGCTGAGGCACCCAGGGGGAAAAGTGATTATATCAAAACTAAGCAGTCAGTCCTTGTGGAAGCTGTGATTAGAACTTGTCTGACTAGAGTTGTCCTTGGTCCAGTTGGTCTCTTAGCCTCAAACAAAATTTAGCGGTCAAAGATGGACGATCTGATGCTCATTGTATTTTGTATTTTTATTTACTAATTGTTAAAATCTTTCTTAAAAAATAGAGTCGAATCCTTTCAGACTCCTGTTATAGTACCCCTAAAAGTGATATTTGAAAGATCATAATCACTCTGGTTTCAAATGAGTGGTATCATTTGAGTCGTGGAAAGAAGTAAAATTCCGTTGTCTTTTATCTGTCAAACTTTCATCTCCTGTATAAATGTAGTGCCACTGGCAGCCCGAAGATACTTGGTGACAATAGCAGAGACTCTAAATATTTAATAAGTAGAATCGAGGAGGCGAGCTGTTAGATTTCCCGAAATATTTGAGCAGCAAGTTTTTTCTCATAAAGAATAAAAATTTTAGGAGGATAGTCATTTGAATTACTTTAATGAAAATTATCTCGTAATTGTGTGCGTGTTACGTTGTACTTTATCTCTCTGGAACCATAAAAAATTTAGCAGTTTCCCTAGGGTTTGCTCTTCGTTTTGTCAATGGTATTTTGTTAGTCCATTTTTCTTCCTCTCTTTCATTTTTTATGTGTTTGGTTTTTCAAATGAAGATTTTTTTCTTCAAAAATTCAAAAAATAATATTGAAAAAAACAAGCTTTCTTTCTTGATAAAATAGACTTAATTAGCACTTTTTTGAGTGTGTCTGAGGACCGACACCAGCCTCTTTAATAAGCACCTCATGAAGCAGGAATTCTTCCAGGCAAGAATGCAATACATTAATCGTTTTAATCTATTTCTGTAATATTTTATGACATAGCTACCTGAATAATAATGCTTTTTACTCTTACAATGTCTTTTCATCAAGGAGCATAAAGATTAAAAATTTCGCTTAAATTTTGCTAACTACATAGTACAAGGGGGCAGTATGTTTAGACTTAATTGTTGCTTTCGTGGAATAAACACAATTCTCTGTCCCTTATACCACCTCCATTTGGCCATCTGAAAAAAGGATGGTGATCTGTCCTTCCCTTCATAGGGACATTTGGGGAATTAATGAAGTAATATCTCGAAAGTAGTTTGAACTCCACGGAAGAAAACAGCTTTGTAACTTTGAAATGTGATTGCAGAGTCTTGAAACATTTTCCCTCCTTAAACATGCTGCTGTTTATATTTTTAGAGAGTGGTCATTCCAAGTAGTCACCTCAGGAGGCTAAACACTTATTCCCGTAGTGCTGCTGCCATTCATAATTATTTTGTATTTTTTGAAATTTCTAGTCAGTTTACAAGCAAAATAAAAACATTTCATGATAACGTTCATACACACTTGTTTTTTTCTATTTTTTATCAAAAATCTAATTCAGCTTGAGTACCTGTTTTCTTTGCTAAATTTGGCAGAATGATTTCTACATGGTTGTAAAACTCAATTCTACCTTCAAGATTTTACCACTATTAAGGATATTTAAAGGATTGTCCTGATGGCTACGAAGGCAGTTTCAAAAGGGCAGTTTAAAAATAGTTTAAAATAATGACAGACATTATTAGAATAAGTTTGCAATCTTCCCAGAAGTCTACTACAAAGGGGACAATGCTTACCTGTAGGCTGAAGTTCTGTGCGTATGTGTACGTTTGTATGTAGTCTCTATTGTAACCCATCAGTTATCTCTTTTCATCACATTGATTTCTTAGAAATTATGTATTTTACTTACATATTAAATAGAGTACATTAAGTAGATCACATCATACTGGAACAGTGTTAGATTGGGAGTATATTTCATAGAGAAGTTTGAATTTCATAAATTTAAATTTAAATCTTTGTAACAATTTTGAATACTAAAATGTGGCTCCATATTGTATGTTTTGAGTGTAATACAGCCGAGGCAATATAGCCTCAAAATATAAAATTGGTATTTTCAAAAAAAGTTATTAAGTTGTGTGTGCAACAGACTTTCCTGACCACACCAATGTCAAAATAAGAAATTTTGACAAATTAGTTTAAATATCAAATTGGCTTTTATTAGCAACTCTCAAACTGGGTAGCATCTCATTCCATAAAATAGAATTCCATGCCTTACGCACGGCAGAATAGTTGGTTTTTTGTAAGGTGGGAACAAGGAAACAGAGTAATTTTTAAAAGTCTGTTGGTTAACATCAGATTACTTAAGGTTACTTTTAAGTGTTAAAGCAGAAGGGACTACTTATGCCAGCTCAGGTTTACTAACCCCTTTCCTGTTGCAGTGAATCTCCTGTTTTCGGGAAAAACTAGTTTGGTCTTTGACCTACTTCCTTAAAGTTTCAGTTTGATTATGTGGCACTGAGCATGAGTGACTCCGTTTTGGTTTGATCTCTTGGGGCCTAGTGGAGGAGCTCCCTCTAAAACAACGTCCTGTTGTAAATTTTTATTTAACAATTCATCCTTTCAGTAAGCTTTCACCTAAGTGAGAATGTGACCAAAACTTAGGGCATTAACACTACTGTCAGTTACTATCATCCTGGGTTTTCAGTCTCAACATGTCACTAATAGGTTAGGTGTCCTCATTATCATAGATTTCTTTGAGTTTTTATCATATCAGCTGGAGAGAGATCATTGACATTCAGCAGATTGCTGCATGCAGTCATTTAAAACTTTTGAGAGAATGCAGCACACTAGGGAGACTGCTGTTATGACTATCAGAAAGATAATACCAAGAGTTTGGAATGTGCTCCTTAATCAAAGTTCCCATGAACCAAACCAACTAAAATTGAACAGATCAAAGAATGAGACAATGAATCCACTCATTTTAACCAAGTAGCCTGTTCTTTAATTTTTTTTTGCAACTGAGTCTCTATAATACCGGAATTTATCTGTGTGCAACAATAAGTGTTACCAACTGCGAAGACTCCTCTCTCTTTGACCAGTAGAAATCTAGAGCAATTCTGTTAATATCTAGTGTAACTTTAACAAGAGAATTCAAAGAAGTCTTGTGCAGCTATAGCATTGCAGTAGAATCTTCTATAGAGGCTATTGTGAGGGATAAATTATAATCATTGCTTCGTTTGTATTACTCCAAGCCATAGGAAAAGGGACTTAACAAAGCCCATCCAAAAGGGTTAATGCATCTTGGCAGTGTTGTCTTTAATCTATGACATAGGTTAGGAGCAGTGAGCCAGTGTTCCACTTCTGGATTATGGAGTGAAAACTTACCATTAAGATTTTTAGCCTACATTGGCCCTTCATCCTTTACCTGTCAAGGCATGAGGTTGCCTGTGTATAAGGTTGGCCACAGAATTATCCACAAATAATGATATACCCTGTGGGTGCACATGAAGACTGCTTTCCAGTTCTGTTGTTCATGGATATATTGCTTGGAATGGTGGATTTAGCAGTTTCTAGCCAAGAAGCTTAAGCAGAGTTTATAAGTTAAAATAAATGTAATATGTTTGCACATAAGTCAGTTTGCAAGAAACTCTATTCAGGCTTTTGGTACAATCCTGTCTTATGATACACTCATTTGGACTTGGTTCTTGTATCCCATGACTGGATTAAATTAAAACAGGGAGAGAGAACAAGTGGATCTAGAAATCTGACTCTATAATAGGGACAATTTGAACAAACAGTTGTGTTAGGGATGTTTTTAAGTTAGCCACTGAGTGGACTAAAAGATATTTTAAGTTATGTAAAGATTTGGGTTTGGCAGGACAGATCCAACACTCTGTGAAGTTACCTACAGAAGCAACTGGTTGTGACAATATTATCCTGCCAAGCGGAAAAGGCATAAGTAAGGAAAAATTAAGAGGGATAAGAGTCTTATTATGATGGAGGATGTTTTTCTGATGTCTTGGGGAAAGCCGTCCACAGTGTGAAGTCATCAACTTCTTATCCTGGTTAACGTGATTTTTTAAGGTCTGTGGCTTAAGAAGAGAAGCAAGTGGCATCAGGAGGTGGTCTTTTATGAGGGAGATGTGAATCCAGGGTCAACACCTTTGAGTTTAGCTGCAATGTCTGTAGTCAAGAGCACTTGGTAGGGTCCTTTCCAGGGGATTCAAAAGCAGTCTTTCTTTGATGGCATTTCCGGAACACCCAATCACCAGGATACAACAAGCCTTTTTGGATCTGTGTCTTGAAAGTCTTCCTTTACCTGTTGGTGATAACTTTTAGCATAGTGCATTAAGAATGTACAGTATTGGGTCATTTCAACATGGGTCAATTAGGGATATACATTTGGTGTGGTAGCCAAAGATATAGACTAACCAGCAATAATTTCATAAGAAGTTAACTTGTGTTTTCCAGCACTGTTGCTCTGAAGAGTCATAAGAGCCAGAGACAGAATTTTAGGCCAAAGAAGTCTAGTGATTTCAGATAAGTTGGAAATTCTGAGGTTAAGTATCCCATTAGTTTTATCGACCTTACCAGAGGACTGAGGGGGATAAGGACAATGATAATGCTAGACTGTTTGTAATAATTTAAGTAGTGCATGAATTACTGTCCAGTAAAATGAGTGGCTCAGTTACTTGAAATGGCATTCAGTATACCCCAGGTGTGAAGTACTCCTTTTGGCAGTTTTGGTTTACAGTAAGGTCATGTCAGCCTTTTGACCTGGGAAGGCCTGAGCCCATCCATAGAACACACACATTATAACAAGCACATACAGACTATTGCAAGTACATGCTTGGTGGGAGTGGTTGAAGTCTAATTGTACATGTTC